ACAAAGTTTCGAACAAAATTTATCATTCTTCATAATCATTTCATCAATTTGTCGTTGTAGGGGTAGTAGAATTTTCCAGATGTCCAACTGGACAGGTGTTGAGTCATTCCTATTACATGTATTCCCTCTCAGTTGATTCGATAAACAAGGCTTCTGTTATCAATCTCTCTCCCTCCACCGTGCTGTTACATTAGATTTTAAAACTGTCATCTTATCCCGTCCATCCTATTGTATGGTTGTGTGTAATTGCATGCAGTGAGTGCTACAGCTGAACTATTCTCAGATTTCTCATCTTATTCGAGTCAACTAATCTAGATTTTGCTGTTAGGTTTTTATGCTCGCCTAGTCTGACTGACTGACTGCCCCTGTTCTACTAGTTTGACCTATATATTTGACCTCACTGACAATCATTGCAGGCAGGGTATTAGATAAACTAAATTGTTTTGTTTTAAAGGCTTCACACGACTGATGCTTTAACTGGCAAAGCTTGTTTCTAATTGAGTTTGTGGTTGGTTTGAATGCCAGCCACTTTTATTCCTACCCGAAGTGTTAAGAATCCTGGTAAAGTTTCCGAGGTTCCTTCTTTGTATGGAATTAATATTGATGATTTAGATTCCTTATTGTTGGTGTTGTCTTGCGCATATATGACTTGCATGTCATTATTAACTCAATTAGAAACAAGCTTTGTCGGTTAAAGTGTCGATCCTGTGAAGCCTTTAAAACAAAACAAAACTGCCTGCAATGATTGTTAGTGAGGTCAAACACATAGATCAAACCAGTAGAACAGGGTCAGTCAGTCAGACTAGCCGAGCATAAAAACCTAGCAGCAAAATCTAGATTAGTTGACCGAAATAAGATAAGAAATCTAGAGAATAGTTCAGCTACAGTACTCACTGCATGCAATTACACACAACCATACAATAGGATGGACGGGATAAGATGATAGTTTTAAAATCTAATGTAACAGCACGGTGGAGGGAGAGAGATTGATAACAGAAGCCTTGTTTATCGAATCAACTGAGAGGGAATACATGTAATAGGAATGACTCAACACCTGTCCAGTTGGACATCTGGAAAATCCTACTACCACACCCACGACGACGACAAACAGGAGAGAACAAAGAAAACTCTAAAACTCAAGTTTCGAAGTCGTGTGATTATAATTGATGAAATGATTATGAAGAATGATAAATTTTGTTCGAAACTTTGTCATCCAGTAAATAATAATAAATACTGTTTCACTGACTGTGTGATACATTTAATAAACAAACTAATATAAATTGACAGTCTAAAATGCAACATATATTTTGGGATTAGAATTGTACTTGCTGATTGGTGATTACTTAGCTAGCTAGGGATCTCTCACGAATGTTTGGACATAACACAATAGCGTCTGCCGAATTGCATGGACCCTTGGAGGCAAATCGTTAGCTTAACGAATCGACTTAAATAGTTAAGGTCAGCAACCATTGCAGAGTGAAGAAGGCTGTAGACCAATAATTTTAGGGAATTATTTAGCACGACATTGTACTGTTTGCTATATTGCTTGCCTTCTTTAATTACCATTTTTTCCTACGGAGTAGATCATATTTTGTGGTAGGAGTACCATTTTGAACTGCCCGTATTCTAACCAACTAATCCTTTAAACTGGTAACAGATAGTAGTTATTTGAGTTCTAGTGGTAATTCGTGACCAGTGAATGGGGTACAGCAGGTCGGGTGTGAAAAAAAAATACTCACCCAAGATGACACTGCCTAGTGCCGGTTGCGCTATATTATCAATTGGCAGAAGTTGGGATTCATAGGTTAGCCAGGATTTCGTCATGAGCTGACATTGGTTAGAAACCATTGGGAAACCAGCTGGGGGAGTACTGGACAGCTGTTTCGTCAGCCTAGTCTGGGGCTCTTCAGCAGTACGCACCCAGCAACCCAGGACTTTCTGGTTAGCGAGTTCATAGACCATTAAGCCACTGGGACGGGATCCAATGGCCAGCCCATGAATTCCAACTTCTGCCAATTCACGTCATAGCGCGACCCCCAGGCCAATGTCTTCGACGAGTATATGTCCCCACACCTGACCCGCTGCACCCTACTGGTCACGACTTCCCACTAGAACCCCAGATCTTATTGGCTGAGTGGTCTACGCGTTCAATCACGTTGTGACCGGAAGGTCCTGGGTTCAAACCCTCGTGATGAATGCGTACTGCTGAAGAATCGACCCTAAGCACGAGGATGAAATAGCTCTGCAGTACTTCCTGGCGGTGGTTCCCTAACCAATGTAAGCTCATGATGAGAATACTGTATAACCAATCAAATCCCTGCAAACCAACAGTTGAGTACTAAGTTGGCTGTTTGAAAGACTTCATTTCGACCTGTATGACCTTCCAGTGATGAGTATAACCTTATAGTGATAGTATCTTAATTTTACTTAATAATTATGACCATATTATATTATTGATTAGTAAGAGTGTCTAAATCTGAGTATCTCTTCTGATTGCATTGACTTTAACAATATGTAGGCGACCATGGTTTAAGAGAGAATATTTATCCTGTATATTTGTGATTGAAGATAAAAACCACAATAATAATAATAATAATAGTAATAAATCAATAACATATGACCTTTCATTTAATCACTTTTTGCTTTTTTATTTAACATGATGTCTCATGATCAGTTTGTCAATATATTTATTTTAAGCTTATTATTATTATTATTATTGTATCCTTTAGTTCCTAGAGGAAAATAGGGCTTCAGCTGCGCACCTCCATTGACTTCGGTTTTCTGACAACTTTTTCAACCTGCTCCAGGTCTGTCCACATGCTTTCATCTCCTCCTCGCATGACCTCCTCCAAGTCACCCTTGCACTGACGACCAACTCGCCGCCTCCCTTTCGGGTTCCACTCGAGGGCTTGTCTAGTGATGTCACTTGATGGTTTCCTCAGCGTATGGCCAATCCATCTCCATTTCTTTCTGCCTATTTGTTTCACAATCGGTTCCTGATTGGTTCGCTCATGCCAGAGATCCCTGTTGCTGATCTTTTCTGGCCATCTGATCTTGAGTATTGAGCGGAGACAGTTGTTAATGAAGGTTTGAAGTTTGTTTGAGATGCTCTTTATGACTCGCCAAGTCTCTGATCCGTATAGTAGCACTGACTTCACATTGGAGTTGAAAATCCGGATCTTATTTTTGATGCTGATTGCTGTTGACCTCCACACAGATTTGAGAGTAATGAAAGCTTGTCTTGCTTTTCCAATTCTGGCTTTGATATCCTCGTTAGTTCCGTCCGCCTGTAGTTGAGACGATGCTTCCCAGGTAGGTGAAGGAGGTTGTTTCTTTCAGGTTCTTCCCACTTATGCTGATTGTTGTCTGTTGTTGTTGTTGTTGCTGTTGATGTTGGCTAGGAATCTTCATTATCTCTGTTTTATCTATGTTCACGTGAAGTCCTATCTTTGATGCTTCTTCTGCCAACTTGTTACTTTTCACTAGCATATCTTCCAGTTTGTGGGAAATCAGACATATATCATCGGCGAAATCCAGATCCTCCAAGTCTTTTGTGTCAGTCCATTTTATGCCTGTTCCCTCGTTGGTTGCCGTTGTCTGTCGCATTATCCAATCGATTGCAATCAGGAAGATCATTGGTGATAGTAGACAGCCTTGCCTCACTCCCGTCCTCACTTCGAAGGCCTCCGTAAGTTTCCCGTTGTGGATTACTTGGCATGCAGCATTGTCGTATAACTGTTGGATGAGGTGTATAATTGTCGATGGGACCCCGTAGTAGCGAAGTAGTTTCCAAATGACCTCTCGATCGACGCTGTCGAAGGCCTTTTCAAAGCTTAATGCTGTCTAATATGGCGTTAATAAAATGGATGATTTGTTTGGTGTATCGTAGGAATTACTGTATACATACGTGTCTTTTATTTTTGTAATTTCATTTCTGTGCATTCAATGTGGAAGATAAAGTTTCAGGTTTGAGCTCTGAGGTTTTCGTAGCAGTGTGGTATTGCACTTTTGTTTAATGGAGTGAAGTTGATAGCCTCATTAGTTTTTTTTAATAGAGAGACTTGGGAAAACATTCAGCTACTCAGCTACTTCGCTGGTCTACCGTAACCAGTCAGTAATATAATATGTGATATAATTCATGAGCTATGACTCGTGTTCCAGTGACGGAACGGTCTACGAGCTTGATCACCTTATAACCAGATGGTACAAGTGGTTAGTACTCTCGCCGACCATCCACATGGTCCGAGGTTCGATCCCCTGCCGACGACGCACACCTGATATCTATGGTTGGCCTGCAAAATTTGGGCTACCGATATCCATGCTGAAAATTCCATACTTGTACGGTGTGGAATCAAGCTGTAATCAAAAATAAAAAAAATTAATAAATGAATAAAAATAAAAAATACTGGGTCCGTAGCCCACTGGGTGCGTACTGTCTGTGAGTCTTTACTTAGGACGAAACAGCTGTCCACTTCTTCACGGTTTCTAGGGGTTCTCTGACTGATATCAACATTATAATTATTAGTGTTCACTTGGGTTCCGAGTCGAACATAAGGCTTCAACAACACATCTTTGCTTTGTTCTGCCTTCTGTTAGCTTCTTTAAATGGCTCCAATATTGCCGATAATCTCTCATTTCCTCACCACATGATCTCCTTCGTGTTACCCTTGGACACATGCCCAGCTCGGTGTTTCCCATTTGCGTCCTACTCGAGTGATGGCCTGCATTAATCGCGATGTAATGGGTGCTGAGTTCCCTCTTCTCAGTAGGAAAATTGTTACTCACTGGGGCTGGGATACATTCAAATGACAAGTCCTGGATTCCACTGCTGGTCACCATCCACCAAATGGCATCACTGCAATTCTTAAACATCGTCGAAATACATGTTGAACTTTTCTGTTCAATTAATATCAACGGAGAAATATTTTAGAAAAGTGACTTTAATATATACAGTTTTTATTTTGAATTTTAATTTTATTTTAATTTCAGTTTCAAATAGTATGTTAAGTAAATCGCCAACATTTGATATTCCACGAAGTCATATTTATGAACATGAACGACAAGATTACCTGTCTATTCATCGTCAACATCAACAACCTAATCATAGAAACAATAAAAATGACAATTTCATTAGCAAATTAACCTCAACTTTTAAACCAAAACATATTGCATCTGATTCAAATATGTTTCGATCAGAAATTATATTCAATTCTAGATCCAATCTATCCTTAAAGAAACATTCCACTAGTACTGTTAATAATAATAATAATAATAATAATAATAATAATAAACAATATCAATAGAAGTAGTATGTCTCCAACCAATTCATGTTTTTCAGTTACTTCCATCGGTAATCCTATCGAAAATTGTCAACGAAACGTTTATGATGACATTGGTAACCATGGTGATGATGATGTGATGATGATGACGACGGTGATGGAGATTACGATAATAATGATGACGATGTTAATGTCGCTGGTGATGATCCAGACGACGTAGATGACGACGTGTTAGATTACACAGATGAGGATTATAGTCAAAAAGATGATGTAGATGAATTATTCTTTATTATTCCATCAACAAAATCAACATCACCGCCTCAAAATGCACCATCAGTTAGTCAATTAAAACAAACAAACACTTGTACATTGAACACTGTCACTAATAATAATAATAATAATAAAAATTTACTGAATGATTCACCAAATATACAGAAATCCTCCTCGAGATTACCAAATCTTAAAGAGAGGATAACACATACACAGAATATATGGTGTTTACCAAATGTTAGTAGATCAGAATCAGAGAAATTATTAAAATTTGCTGAAATTGGAGTAAGTCGAGATTTATAACGTGGATTTCATTTCATTCGTTTTGAATGTCTTATTTGTTTTTTCTGTATAAATGTAACTTTTTTCAATGAGTTACTGCCTCAACTTTAACCTGTTGCACCCTACCGGTCATGGTTTCCAACTAGAACCCCAGAACACTGCCTGAATTTTCAAGTATTGAATTTTGTAGGGACTTAGTTTGATTGGATGGAGGATTTTATCATGAGCTGACATCAGTTAGAGAACCATTGGAAAACCAGCCAGGGAGTGCTGGACAGCTGCTACGTCTGGTGCTTTTGAGTCTTCAGAGTACGCACCTACCACCATGTAGGGTTCGAACCCAGGGCCTTCTGGTTACAAGGTAAGCTAGCTCGTAGACTATTAAGCCACTGGAACTCGGTTAAATAGTCTGTCCATGAATTCCGACTTCTGCCAATTCATGACATCTGATGCTCACTAGCGACTGGCTCTATTAAGGCAGTGACCTGGGATTTTAGTGGGAAGCTGTGAAAAGTAGGGTGCAACAGGTTGAAGGTGAGGCAGTAATTCACCAAAGAAACTGTAAATTTTGTTAGTCAGGGGATGGCATTGGTGTATTTGTCTGTCGACCTAAATGGATGGTTTGAATGAGAAACTATTATTACTCTTTTAGAATAGGTCATCAGCGGCAAAGTTTAGTGTTAAGTACTAATATTCTTATTATATTTTATTATTTACTTGGTTTCCAAGGCTTTGGAAGCACATCTCATTTTTATTTTGTTCTCTGGTGGTCTTTTTTAGATGGTTCTTTGACTTCCTGTATGCGTATATTTCCTCCTCATATTATCTCCTTGATTTCACACTTAGAAATAAGGTGAACTCGTTGTTTCTCATTCGAAATCCACTCGAACGATGGTTTGGCTCACGATGTTACTCAACGGTCGTCTCTCATCAGCGTGTGTTCCATTTATCTCCATTTTCTTAGGTATATCAATTGAGCAACAGTTTCTTGGTTGCTTTGTTCTGTTTGACCTTTAATATGAAAAGGTATGAAATAAACTTTGTGAAGTACGCTGATGATTTAACGGTTTCAATGGCTGTTAACTCCCAGCTAGATTGTACTAAAATAAATAGCTTTCTATCGGAAGTCAGCAAATGGTCTGAGTCTAACGGTCTTAAACTGAATCCTTCTAAGTGTCAAACTGTTGATTTCAGCTTAAGATGTAAACGACAGTTAAAAGAAGTCATCGATTCTCATGACAGTTGTAAAATTGACGACAATGATGTAGGAATCAAATCAGAAATTAAGTATCTTGGACTCATTCTCTCTTCTGATCTCTCCTGGTCTTCCCATGTCTTAGCAATCTCCAGTAAAATATTCCGCCTGACATTTTACATTAAGAAGTTAAGACACTCGGGTATAACTCAACCCCTCCTCCTCTACAGTTCATAAACTCTTGCATCCTACCTATTCTTCTTTATTGTTCACCCTTATTCTTTCCTGGTTTGCTTAAAAAAGACTATGTCACAATTCGGAGAATGCTGAAGACTGTCAGTAGGGTGAGTGGTGTCCCAGTGGACCACATAGTTAACGTCGTTGTCGATAGTCACTTGACTTCGTGCAATAAATTTGCTAAAGGGATTTTGTCTGACTTGGAGCATCCGCTTTACCCTCAGCTTTCACCTTGCATCTCCTCAGGTAGAACAAGAAGTAACTTCAGAAAACTGTATGCTCGCACGTCTAAGTATAAGAATTCTATGATACCATACTTGTCACGTATTTTATGTGATGAAAATAGTATCAGGCAAGAATTAACTAACCTTTTTTCATCTAGTAAATAAACAATTTCCTCCATCCATCCTTATATACCTTCAAGTTTTACTTTTATTACTTCTATTATATTTATGGTCCTGTTACTTCTCTGTTTTACTCTCATAATTGCAAACACCAACTTATCTCCATGACGGCTGTAATCTATGTTTTTTCCTTCACCATATCATGTAGAAAGAACATTATATTCAATATTTTTAAACATGTTAGGATTTCTATACCACATTGCCAATACTGTGTGACACAAGCCAACGGCAATTTTCACTTGTATTATTATTATTATTACCCTAGCTGTTATCATTATTATTGCTATTTCCATTTTATATGCTGCATGTATTTGACACTACCTCTATTGTAAGTGTGGAAAATTTTCTGTGTGATTAATTTTTATTTATAATTTGAGGAAATTAGATGCAATATTGTGATTAATGCTGAAAATTCCATTCTGTATCACAAGTACTGTTTTGGGAATAAAGTAAATCATTATTAATATTATTATTAAATATGGGGCCAGAGAAGGATGTTGTTAGCGAAAGACTAAAGCTGACTGCTTTTTATGATGTATATGTCAAGTTTCTAATCGATATAGAAAAATTAACTTAACATTGATATTGAATGATGTAATCGTCTCTCGTTGTCACCTTCAGTGTACTTCTGGTAATTTCTATTAGTGCCTACTACATTGACTCTTAGCTTAAAGATAGGCAGTGAGGTGGTAGAGCTTGTTCACCACTTCACTTATTTGAGAGTTGCGTCAGTCGGTCCCAGCGGGTTGATCATTAACGAAATCTTAGCACAGATGCAGAAGGCTCGTTTGTCATTTGACAACTTACTTCATTTCTGGCTTGCGTATACTGTTCAACAGCTCGCTCCATCCTCCGTTATAGCTATGAGTGATACGTGACCAATAAGTCTGAAAAACACTGAAAGGGTGGTTAGCTGTTTTTGATCGTAGGTGTCTCCGTTCTATCTCCTGTGTTAGGGGGTAGATGCAGCAGGGTGATTTATACTGAGGTGTTTAGGCATTGGTCAGAAGGGGAAATCACTCGATGAGATTGTAAAGTTATATCAGTTGAGATGGTTAGGACGTGGGTTACGCATGCCTCTAAGCTACAGCCTTTCTCGACACACAATGTTATCTGACACAGAACCGATCAGGTTGGAAAAGAGAACGCTAGTGGTGGTCAGACAAAAATATGGCTTCATTAATCAATGAAATCCATAAAAGTTAAGTTTTAGCCAGCCGGTAACGTAGGTAGACGAAGAATGCTGTCTGTTTAGAGTCGTCGGGATGGTATGAACCAATGAAGTCTGGAGACAATCGGTGATATGGCTTAAAATCCTCGTTCTTAGTTGCTGGAGCAGTGCAATCACTCTTTGTGATGATTTGTCATATCTAATAAAACTCTGTTGATATAAGAATATAATTTGTGCACTGTGGTAGAGTATAATTTTATAACAACAGAAGACATGGGCCAGGCAACAGATCGTTTACTAAGGAAATCAACATATATTTATAGATTTTCATGTACATTATTATAGATTATATTTTAGCAGAAAAACACAGTTTTCTGATTGGTTATTTCTCACTGAAAGTTAATCTTCCATCTCTTTGTGGCTGTTTCTTGAATGTCAGATCATATATATGTTAACTGTATCCGCCTATGCAAAGCCTTTGTTCTCATTTTTCTCATGACCAATATTGGGGACATAAACATTGACGTAAATTACTGTCCACCAATTTTGACTAACAGCCAGCTGTCATCACAATTTCATTTTGGATAAAATTTGTTGTGATAAAGTCTCATAGTGTTATACAGTAATATTTACCGATGAATACACGCTTCGAGCACAATTTATTGCTTATAGTCATATCACATCCATGATATGAGACTTCATCAAAATAAAACCTTAATGTTCTTTCATATTACTATTCCTTTTCCCCATTCACACTTCTGTTTATTATCCCTAGCTCTCTCTCTTTCGAATCTCTCTTTACTCTCTTCTCTTGCTTTGTGTGCTACATGGAGTCGGGAGTGTGGCAGGCTGAACTGGTACACATCAGTGCAAATTTCTTTATGTTGAAACCAGCCAATCAGTCACCGTTTCATTGACGTGATATTTGACCCTTTTCGCCATGTAACTTGTTATTGATCGGTTAAAAAAACTTTGATCTATAACATAATTATCTATTGAGTGAAGATTGATCCAAATAACAGGATATTTTTTTTCTAGAATTCTTTGGCATATTTTGTATTTCCTTATTCTAAAATTCTTATATTTTTCCTGAGTCTGGTTATTGGTTGCCACCCGTATTCTACATGTATAGGTTGACAGAATATATGTCTTGCTTTCTACGGCTAGTTTATGCATGTTCTTAGGATCACGACAAAAGAGGCAAATATCAAGTTAACCTATCCTGTCATATGCTGTGATCGTGTTCTCTCGTGAATTTTATTGCCAGATCTGCCAAGGGCGATAGGAAAGTAGGCGACCTAGTGGCTGTGTGCAAGGTTTGAAGAAGGCTGTATGCTATATGCATCCGCCATCCTGGCCATCAGCAACAGGAACAACAAGAGACAACAGTCAGCATAAATGAGAGAAATTTGAAAGAAGCAACTTCCGTTACCTACCTACCTACCTACCTACCTACCTACCTACCTACCTACCTACCTACCTACCTACCTACCTACCTACCTACCTACCTACCTACCTACCTACCTACCTACCTACCTACCTACCTACCTACCTACCTACCTACCTACCTACCTACCTACCTACCTACCTACCTACCTACCTACCTACCTACCTACCTACCTACCTACCTACCTACCTACCTACCTACCTACCTACCTACCTACCTACCTACCTACCTACCTACCTACCTACCTACCTACCTACCTACCTACCTACCTACCTACCTACCTACCTACCTACCTACCTACCTACCTACCTACCTACCTACCTACCTACCTACCTACCTACCTACCTACCTACCTACCTACCTACCTACCTACCTACCTACCTACCTACCTACCTACCTACCTACCTACCTACCTACCTACCTACCTACCTACCTACCTACCTACCTACCTACCTACCTACCTACCTACCTACCTACCTACCTACCTACCTACCTACCTACCTACCTACCTACCTACCTACCTACCTACCTACCTACCTACCTACCTAC